ATATATATATATATATATATATATACTTTTTGACTATGCAATCAACCCGTAGATGGAGTGACCACTAGGGTTAGCTTAGTGGTTGTGTGGGGAGGGGTTAGTTAGTTAGAAACATGAGGACTTAGGTTCAATCCTCATTGCGACCATCTTTGTAATCTTTCCTATCTTTACAAAAAAAAATAAAAAAATAACTCGTAGATAGAGCAAACCAATATTTTTTTATCCAACATTTAGCAAGAAAGCTAGTTCACCCCACTCTAGTTTTGTTGGTTTGGTGGCTAGTAAAATCAGGTTGATTTAGTCTATTTTACCACTTTGATTAAAAACATAACCTAACTCAACCTATCGATATATTTAAAATTTCAATTTATTATGTATTATAAAAAAAATACACATGTAAAACCACTACATACTCATAGTCAATATACTGCACTAGAGTTTCTTTGAATAATCAAACTCGCGCTTTTTCCTCTACCTACTTAGGGTTCTTTACCAATAGCCCACTCTCAAACTTGACATAGGTCAATTGCATATTATATTTGGTTATGTTGTAATATAATGACATAAATTTTTGTTTGTTGATCGGGTAATGTTATCAAATGATCTTGGCATGGGTTCCCTGCTCATTATATTGGGCAATATTCGTTGTATAGTGTTTACTGTACTGGCCCAGCCGAGTTGTCAACTTGTCCCTCACCAAGCTGCCTACTTGGCCAAAGGCCTACCAACTTGACCAAGACTTTGTCAAAGGCTTACCAGCCTGACCAAGCAGTAAATTCATTATTGCTGAGTTCCTCAGCTCGGCCATGAAACACGGACATCGAAATATCACATCGGCCCAAAAAGGCCACGTCATCAAATAGATAAAAATACAATCTTGTCACTGCACCGCAATCACAAGGTAAAATCCTAAAAATGCAAATGTGCTGATAGACAGTAAAAACCCTAATATCACCAAGGTACGTCTACTATATATATGAGACATATACACTATTAAGAACTAACTTTAGCATCAGAGTCTTTTTTGCAGGTACCACCCCCATCTTGGAGCGGACAACCTACGAACCAGTAGAGGCTCACCAATCTTATCAGAGAGATTGTCACCGATCCAATCTCAGGTGAGAACACTTACTGATTAAAAAATCTTTATAATGAGTTATGAGATTAATGGGAAGTGAGATTTTATTAGTTTTTAAGTGTACAAAATTAATTTGTGAAGTGTGACAACCAAAGTGCATAATGTCATAATATAGGGAAAAATTGACTTGAAAAAAGAAAATAAAAGTAATACACAACATAATATTCGAAAGAGGAAACAAGTGATATTGCATATATACAATAAAACTATTAGCAAGTCATGAAAATTATATATTAGAAAAATTACAATTTTCAAAAAAATTATTTTTTTAAAATTTTTCATACCTAATATCCAACAATTGGTATAGGTCGCGGATTGGTTTAATATTCTAGATATAGAAAAAAAAATACACAAATTCAATCAATCCAATCAAAATTATTTTAATCCATTTTGATAGCAAATTTGTGAAACTCAAACCAAACTGAACTATTAACACCTCTACTAAATGAGTTATATAATACAAAATCATAAAAGATTCCAACACTATGTATTC